GCATCATTGAATGATGCTATGAAGATTGAAGAGGAACGTCTGGATCAAGAGAGAAATGCAGCAGCAGAACAGAAAAGAAATGAAGCAATGCACGCTGGTATGAAAGAACGCGAGAGAGAGCGAGACCCTACTTATGAATACTGGCATCAGGCTGAATTCGATATTGACAATCTAGTTTCAATAAGGTAATTATCAAAATTATTAACATTGACATTGTTTTCTTTATTTGAGAATATGTTTGAGCGTGACATAAATCTTTTATTTAGGAGACAATGGGATGCTTATTTAATTGCACCTGGTAAACCTGCATCATCGTGTATCCCTCCAATGTTTGTTACTCCATCCCCTCCCGCTAATTATATTTGGGCTTCATGTCTTATACACGATCAGAATATTATTTGATAATTAGATTAACACAAAACCTTTGATTATGTTAATTAACAACGACTGGAGTTATATAGACAGTATGATTTCCTTGCTTCCTTTAAATTTATTTATTTTTATTTTTTTTTTGATTGTTCTGAAGATTTTTGTCATTCGAATTCTAAATTAAATTTAATTAAATTTAATTAATTTAGGTCCTCGGACACTGAACGATACAATGCGATTGACAAATGGTCAAATAATGTTTCTACTTTGTACAAAACATGCATCAACAGGGTTTCATAAAATCAATTATTAGAGTTTCTTATTCATTTATCATCACAATTTGTTTTAAAAGTGAGAACATATTTACTGAACATCAATTATGATAAAATGCGAATTTTTTTTCTGACAAAACGTAGACAGTAAAACAACAAATTCAAGAAATATATAATTAATTAATTTAATAACTTATTTGTAATTGTGAACCAAGTGAATTATTATTTGCCTGCCTAAACAACATAAAGTAGCTTTATTATAAAAATATAAAAATATAAATTTTATGATAAAATGTTCATTCGATGGATTGTCTTTTTTTAATAACAATTAAGTGATGGTTTTTTTTTAATAATCAATGCT